TATTTGTGGTAGAGACAGGGTTTCACCATGTTGTCCAGGCTAGTCTCGAACTCCTGACCTCAGGTGATCCACCCACCTCGGACTCCCAAAGTGCTTGGGATTACAGGCATGAGCCACCACACCCAGCCCAATCCTTTCTTTATATGCCACTGAAAAGTTTTCCAGTGTGAAACACTCCAGCTCCATTTTTCCCATGAGCCCTGTGGTTTTTATTGTGTGATTTTGCATAGTGCAATTACTTGTAAAAAGGAATGTGTGTGTCACCTGATGGAAGAACTAATTGTAGAAGTAATTATAGACATTGCTTTTCAGCATCCTTTTAACAATGGTTGAGAAGCGCAGCACTGCCCCCTTGAGAAATTGTTTCTGTCCCTCCCTTTCCTCTCTCTATAACCACTAGACGGCGCGCTCCTCCGTTGGGGTCGGGCTCTGTTCTCTGCGCCTTTGCAGTGGCAACCTCAACCGCGTGGACCCCGTTCTTGCACTCCCGTCTCACTGAGGTTTGATCGGGTCTGGAACGACTTCACAGTCTGGTTCTCCTCTTTAGATTAGATTTCCCCAATCCCCGTGCTCATTCAAGATTTACTTCTGCCCATTTTAGCTCTGGCTCCCGTTCGGATGGCACTTCCTCCCATGCTCTCTGCAGGAGCTGCCTCTCTGCACACCTCTGTTCACCTGCTCACCTGGTTCCTCTGCTCACCTGTCCTGCCATTTAACCCACAGAGATCTACTTCAGAGACAAAAATGTCATTATTTCATGCCTTTCTGTACTTCATAAAGAAATTGGTCTGCGTGCTGTCTTTGTAATATAACATAAGCCTAGATAATGTTCTTTCACATCCATTTGTTCAGCTGGCCTTATCCACCTTACTTACTTTCATTTTAGCTTCCCTATTACAGACTTGAAAATTCGGTATCCTAGAACATACTTTGTTTGGGGCTGTCTTTCACTCATCTTTACCACAAATTCAAGGTCATGCCACCTTCTTTGGTGGCGTGTGTTGAAAACCAGCACTGAGTCATCCATAAAAACAGAGAATTTAGGCCAGGCGTAATCCTCATGCCTGCAATCCCAGCAATTTGGGAGGCTTAGGTGAGTGGATCACCTGAGTTCGAGAGTTCAAGACCAGCCTGATCAACATGGAGAAACCTTGTCTCTACTAAAAATACAAAATTAGCTGGGCGTGGTGGCACATGCCTGTAATCCCAGCTACTCAGGAGGCTGGGGCAGGAGAATCACTTGAACCTGGGAGGCGGAGGTTGCATTGAGCCAAGATGAAGCCATTGCACTCCAGCCTGGACAACAAGAGCAAAACTCTGTCTCAAAAAAAAAGAATTTAAACTAAAAGAACTGTTCTTCAGAGCTGGCATTCTCAGTCCTATGTCTTCAGGGAGTTCTCCGGTTTCATGAGATGAGAATTTCTTTCTAATGTTTGGATGAAATAGCAGCTGCAAAATCGTCGGCAACTTGGGGTCCAAGTTTGTTCTTTCCTGTAAATAATGGTTGTTCAATATTGGAACATATTTCTTACAGTCACTTAAAATCCTCGTTTCTGAAATCAAAATTTTGATTCTCTTTTCTTCTCGAATAGAGATCAGCAAACTATGGTCTGTGTTTGGACTGCAAAACCCAAAATATTTACCCTCTGGCCCGTTAGAGAAAATGCTTTCCAACCCCTGTTCTGGAACCTGAAGTGTGATTGTTTAACAGAAACTAAGGGTCCTTGAATGAGACATGGAGATGGACAGGCCCCGGGAAGTCAGTGAATCCTCTGAAACTGGGTTCAAAATTTGGTTTGTGATACAAATGTGCATTTTTGTAGGAAAAAGAACCAAAGCTATCATCAGAGTCTCAAAGGAGTCCAAGACTTCAAAAGGCTTAAAAACATGTTGTCTACTTAAGGGCAGTGTGACTGAGCACAAGAACCCACCATAACATCCTCAGGTGTGAGCAACAAGGCCGATGTGCTTACATGCCCTGTAGGGCACTTCAGAATCCACCTCTTACTATAAAATGTGGAAAAGACTTTGTGAAACCCAATACAAATATGGTCTTTCCATTACCATTTATTTTCCTCCTTGGGTTTCAAGGCCTGATTCCCCCCACCCCACCGTTCTTGTCTCATCTGAAGTCCATCTTCAGACTCTTCACCCCAGGAGCCACTGAGTCAGGGCTCAGGCTTCCAACCACACACCCTTATCTCCGTCTTCCAGCATTACATCAGATTCCAGAGTCACAGCCTTACAATTACATGCCAGGAGCCCTGGAGCTGGATTTAGGGCCCATTGCAGTAACTGCCTCTCACCTCATTCATTGTGATATCTGTCCCTCTCTTCGTAGATGCTCTTCTGCCCTTTTTCGGTTAGTTTATCACCATGATGAGTATTTGATATTATTGGATGCTGTGGGATGTCAGTGATGAATGTGAAATTGAGGATGGCAGAGGCAGAGCAGAGCACCTCCCATGGCACCTGTGAAAGCCTGTCCCAAACCTTGCAGGTAGGAGGGATGGCGTTTGCCTTTAGGAGTTTCTTCTGAGCTGTAACACCCACATCTTCCCTGATTGGTTTCTATTTTCTTTCAATAATCCTTCATTTTATCTGTTGAGATCACTTTGAACTTTTATCTTGTTTTCCAAAATGCAGCCTCCCGCCTGAGTGTGTCACGTATAAATGCAAGGTCATTAGCTCCGAGGCCCACTCAAAGCCGCAAGACATTCATTGAGACAGAAAGTGGCTACTTTTTTTTGCATTACTCAATCTCGTCACCTACAAAAGAAACGAACATTGGCCAGGCACATGCCTGTAATCCCAGCACTTTGAGGGGCAGAGGTGGGCTGCTGCTTGAGCCCACGAGTTCTAGACCAGTCTGGACAATGTGGCAAAATCCTGTCATTGCAAAAAGAAAATTACAAAAATTAGCTGGCATGGTGCCATCCAACTGTGGTCACAGTTGCTCAGGAGGCTGGGGTGGGAGGATCACTTGAGCCTGGGAAATTGAGGCTGCAGTGAGCTATAATCACACTACTGCATGCCAGCCTGGACAGCAGAGTGAGACCCTGTCTCAAACGAAGCAAAACAATCACAAACTATGTTGGTGGAAAGAATACATAGGATTCGCAGGATTCCTGGCTTTAGTCATCAGTGTGCCTGTCATGAATGTGGAAAAAGACCTGAAATCTCCACCTCGGCCCTGCAGTGCTGGCAGACCCAGGCCTCTGTTTTATACCAAAATATTTGAAATGCCCCCTTTATTATTTTGAAATGGCATTCATAGATGTAACATAATCCACCTACATGCATAATTTTTATGGAAATCAATATAATGTCCTAACTGGGATATAAAAAAGAAATAAGAGGAGAAGTAATTTGTAATGAGTTGGTACATGTCTCAATATGTGAATGCTTGTGTGCAACTAGAAGATGAAATGAGCTAAACACTCACACCTACTTATAAAGGATAGGCTTGGATTTAAGAAAAGTAAGATAATATTCAACTGACATTTCTTAAACTTTTGTTTTTCCAAGGCAGGGTCCCGTGTTTCTCAGGCTGGAGTGCAGTGGCACAAACAGCTCACTGCAGCTCAAGCTCCCACCTCAGCCTCCCGAGTAGCTGGGACTACAGGTGTGCACCACCATGCCCAGCTAATTTTTGCATTGTTTTGTAGATATGGGTTTTTGCCATGTTGCCCGGGCTGGTCTTAAACTTCTGGGATCAAGTGATCCACCTGCCTTGGCCTCCCAAAGTGCTGGGATTACAGGAGTGAGCCTCCATACCCTGCCTCTTCTCAAACATTATTATTACACGTGACATTTTGAAATGAGGAGTAAGTAAATTGCTCACACCGTCGGACCTTGGTGTTGGCTGCTCCTCCCCCTCGAACATTGGGCCTCTCCACAGCCCTTCCTTACTTCCTTCAGGTCCCAGCCCTAATCTCATTACATCAGAGACGCCTTTTCTGACTCCTCTCTATAAAGAGCAGCCACTGCGCCAGCCCTGGCAGCTCCATCTCCTTTTTCCACTTTACTTTCCCCCATTGCATTTACCTCCACCTGTCAGTACCTATTTCCTCTTTCATTGTCTGTCACCTTTTCTGTCCACCAGAATGCAAGCTCCATGAGGGCAGGCTTGGTCTATTTTGTTCACAGCTGTATCTCCAGCTTTTAAAACAGTGCCCGAGTCTTGGTGTGCTGGCTCACACCTGTAATCCCAGCACTTTGGGAGGCTGAGGCCAGCGGATCACCTGAGGTCAGGAGTTTGACACCACCCTGGCCAACATGGTGAAACCCCATCTCTACTAAAAACACAAAAATTAGCCAGGCATGATGGCACACACCTCTAATCCCAGCTTCTTGGAAGGCTGAGGTGAGAGGATCATTTGAACCCAGGAGAGAGAGGTTGCAGTGAGCTGAGATAGCACCACTGCACTCCAGCCGGGGTGACACAATGAGACCCTGTCTCAAATAAATTAAGTAAAACACATAATACGTGCTCAGCACATGCTTTTTGAATGAGTTATTGAGGTAAAAACTATTCAAGATAATGTTGACAGTCAACAGAGCTGAATCGTACAAATCCTTGTAGGATTTTATTTCAATTTTTGTGTTTTTAGTAGAGATGGGGTTTCACCATGTTGGCCAGGGTGGTGTCAAACTCCTGACCTCAGGTGATCCGCCATCCTGGGGATTACAGGTGTGAGCCAGCACACCAAGCCTTGGGCACTGTTTTAAAAGCTGGAGATACAGCTGTGAACAAAATAGACCAAGCCTCCCCTCATGGAGCTTGCATTCTGGTGGACAGAAGAGGTGACAGACAATGAAAGAGGAAATAGCTACTGACAGGTGGAGGTAAATGCAATGGGGGAAAGTAAAGTGGAAAAAGGAGATGGAGCTGCCAGGGCTGGCGCAGTGGCTGCTCTTCATAGAGAGGAGTCAGAAAAGGCGTCTCTGATGTAATGAGTGAGATTAGGGCAGGGATCTGAAGGAAGGGTAGGACCCTGTACAAAGAGGAGTGATATCAACTAGATTATGTTTTTAAAAGAACATCCTGGCTGCTGTTTGGAAAATGAAATCAAGACCAGAAATAAGAGAGCCAGTGAGGCATCTCCAGTGTGCCCACACAAAGACATGGCGGCGGCTTATGGTAGGACAGTGGGTCAGCTTGGGAGGTGGCACCAATGGGACTTGCGGATGGATTGGACATGGGGGGATGTTTAAAAGAATGAGGGTGACTCTGCTGTGTTGTCACCCTGAGCCTCTGGATGGATATGGTGAAGCCATTGACTGAGATGGGGGAGAAAAGAGTGGTGATAACCATTCTCACCAAGTTTTTCCTAACAATTATTAGTTGCCTTAGTTTGATACTTTGAGTCCACCCAGGCATCGATGCCTACTTTCGATTTGCTATAGCTTGTGTGCCACGGCCTCACAGTTTTTGTGGAACCACACCACACATCAGCCCCAACACAAAGCACAACCTCATCAGAGCTAGCCCACCTCCAGCACCGTGACTGCGCCAGGCTTAATCTCCGATATTGACACTTCTGCCTGTGATCGTGCCTCATGGGATTCTTGCTCTTTATAAACCATTGCCTTCTTCCCATTACTTTCATTTATTTTTCCTCTCATTCTTTTGCCCTCTGAGCCATGTAACTCTTCCTTTACCTTCCAACAGAGGCCCTTTGTTACATTTAGAGCAAATTGAATGCATTGCAGGTACCAAAGATGGAGGTGCTATGCAAATATTAGACACCAAGCTCTCTGCAGTGGGGCCCTTGCATGTTTTCTCCTCATAGCACCACCCACCATGATACTTGAAACATAAGCCAGACACATTTATTGATCACCATTTCTGCTGCACCCGTGAAGAAAACACTCAACTCAGACAGATGGTCAGCTCCCCCACAAGATTTAAGCAAGTGGGCCGGCCTCTGTTTATTGTACACTCACACAGTCAATCACACAGCTGCCAGGTGAGCACTAGGTACTTATCACACTTTAATTAAACTGATCACATCTGACTCTTTCTGGGGATGGCAGAAAGGGCCCAATTTCTGCATGATCGGATGGACCGTGAGTGGAGTAAGGTCGGATAAATGGAGATGGGCCAGTAGCCTAGACAAGTTAAGGGAGAAATTCAGTGAATTGATTTTCCACTCATCAGCTGAGACTTCTGTGGGCTAGGAAGGAGGTGCCTGGCTGAAGTGAAGCAACATCATGTCTCTTCCAGCTGTTTTCTCCAACGCCCCTCAGCAAATCATAAATGAATAAATGAATGAATGAACAAACATAAGAGTTATTATAGGGATTAAGTGAAAGCAGGGTGTGGTGGCTCATGCCTGTAATCCGAGCACATTGGGAGGCTGAGATGGGAGGATTGCTTGAGCCCAGGAGTTCAAGACCAGCCTGGGCAACGAAGTGAGACCCCCGTCTCTGTTTTTTCATTTTAATTTATAATAATAAAAATTTTTAAAGAAGATTAAGTGAAATGTTTATTAAGTACCTAGAATAGTGCCTAGTGTGTAGAAAATTCAACATAACTGTTTGATAGAGAAAGACCAAGAATAGGACGGGCATGGTGGCTCACACCTGTAATCCCAGCACTTTGGTAGGTTGAGGCATGCAGGTCACTTGAACTCACGAGTTGGAGACCAGCTTGGGCAACATGGTGAAAATCCATTTCTACTAAAAATACAAAAATTAGCTGGGCATGGTGGCATATGCCTGTAGTTCCAGCTTATCAGGAGGCTGAGATGGGAGGATGGCTTGAACCCAGGAGGCAGAGGTGGCAGTGAGCTGTGATCATACCCCTGCACTCCAGCCTGGGCGACAGAGTGAGACCTTGTCTCAGAAAAACAGAAAGAGTAAGAATAGCTTTGTCTGTATCTGCCAGCAGCCATGTTTGTGGAGTCAGAGGAACAAAGGAGTTGAAGGGTGCAGGTACATCATAGAGAATACCCCTAAGATCTAAAGACCCCGCTGCAATACCTCAAGCTTAGATGCCTGTGTTTTCATTCTCCCTTCTTCTCCATAGGATCATGGGAGACCACCTGGACCTTCTCCTAAGAGTGGTGCTTGTGGCCAGTCGTGTGTTTGGAATTCCTTCCTGCTCCTTTGATGGTCGGATAGCCTTATATCGTTTCTGCAACCTCACCCAGGTCCCCCAGGTCCTCAACACCACTGAGAGGCTCCTGCTGAGCTTCAACTATATCAGGACAGTCACTGCTTCATCATTCCCCTTCCTGGAGCAGCTGCAGCTGCTAGAGCTCGGGAGCCAGTATACCCCCTTGACCATTGACAAGGAGGCCTTCAGAAACCTGCCCAACCTTAGAATCTTGGACCTGGGAGATAGTCAGATAAACTTCTTGCACCCAGATGCTTTTCAGGGACTGTTCCATCTGTTTGAACTTAGACTGTTTTTCTGTGGTCTCTCTGATGCTATATTAAAAGATGGTTATTTCAGAAATTTAAAGTCTTTAACTCACTTGGATCTATCCAAAAATCAGATTCGTAGCCTTTACCTCCATCCGTCATTTGGGGAGTTGAAGTCCTTAAAGTCCATAGATTTTTCCTCTAACCAAATATTCCTTGTATGTGAACATGAGCTCAAGCCCCTCCAAGGGAAAACGCTCTCCTTTCTTAGCCTCGCGGCTAATAACTTGTACAGCAGAGTCTCAGTGGACTGGGGAAAATGTATGAACCCATTCAGAAACATGGTGCTGGAGACTCTAGATGTTTCTGGAAATGGCTGGACAGTGGACATCACAGGAAACTTCAGCAATGCCATCAGCGGAAGTGAGGCCTTCTCTCTGACTCTTGCCTACCACACCATGGGTGCCTCATTTGGCTTCCATAACATCAAAGATCCTGACCAGAACACATTTGCTGGCCTGGCCAGATGTTCCGTGAAACTCCTGGATCTTTCACATGGGTTTATCTTCTCCCTGAACTCCAGAGTCTTTGAGAGACTCAGGGATTTGAAGGTTCTGAACCTTGCCTACAACAAGATAAATAAGATTGCAGATGAAGCATTTTACGGACTTGACAACCTCCAAGTTCTCAATTTGTCATATAACCTTATAGGGGAACTTTACAATTGGAATTTCTATGGATTACCTAAGATAACCAACATTGATTTGCAAAAGAATCACATTGGAATAATTCAGGACCAAACATTCAAATTCCTGGAAAAATTACAGACCTTGGATCTCCGAGACAATGCTCTTACAACCATTTATTTTATTCCAAGCATACCTAATATCTTCTTGGGCGGCAATAAACTAGCAGCTTTGCCAAAGATCAACCTTACAGCCAACTTCATCCACTTATCGGAAAACAGGCTAGAAAATCTAGATATTCTCTACTTTCTCCTACAGGTCCCTCATCTCCAGATTCTCATTTTAAATCAAAACCGCTTATCCTCTTGTAATGGAGGTCAAACCCCTGCAGAGAATCCCAGCTTAGAACAGCTTTTCCTTGGAGAAAATATGTTGCAACTTGCCTGGGAAACTGAGCTCTGTTGGGATGTTTTTGAGGGACTTTCTCATCTTCAAGTTCTGTATTTGAATAATAATTATCTTAATTTCCTTCCACCAGGAATATTTAGCCATCTGACTGCATTAAGGGGACTAAGCCTCAACTCCAACAGGCTGACAGTTCTTTCTCACAATGATTTACCTGCTAATTTAGAGATCCTGGACATATCCAGAAACCAGCTCCTAGCTCCCGATCCTAATTTATTTGTATCACTTAATATCTTGGATATAACTCATAACAAGTTCATTTGTGAATGTGAACTTAGCACTTTTATCAATTGGCTTAATCATACCAATGTCACTATAGCTGGACCTCCTGCGGACATATATTGCGTGTACCCTGATTCGTTCTCTGGGGTTTCCCTCCTCTCTCTTTCCACGAAAGATTGTGATGAAGAGGAAATCTTAAAGTCCCTCAAGTTCTCCCTTTTCATAGGATGCACTGTCACTCTGACTCTGATCCTCATGGCCAGCCTCATCGTCACCAAGTTCCGGGGCTTTTGTTTTATCTGTTATAAGACGGCCCAGAAACTGGTATTCGAGGACCATCCCCAGAGACCCGATACGTACAAATATGATGCCTATTTGTGCTTCAGCAGCAAAGACTTCGAGTGGGTGCAGAATGCTTTGCTCAAACACCTGGACACTCAATACAGTGACCAAAACAGATTTAACCTGTGCTTTGAAGAAAGAGACTTTGTCCCAGGAGAAAACCACATTGCCAACATCCTGGATGCCATCTGGAACAGTAGAAAGATTGTTTGTCTTGTGAGCAGACACTTCCTTAGAGATGGCTGGTGCCTTGAAGCCTTCAGTTATGCCCAGGGCAGGTGCTTATCTGACCTTAACGGTGCTCTCATCATGGTGGTGGTTGGGTCCTTGTCCCAGTACCAGTTGATGAAACATCAATCCATTAGAGGCTTTGTACAGAAACAGCAGTACTTGAGGTGGCCTGAGGATCTCCAGGATATTGACTGGTTTCTTCATAAACTCTCTCAACAGATACTAAAGAAAGAAAAAGAAAAGAAGAAAGACAATAACATTTTGTTGCAAACTGTAGCAACCATCTCCTAATCAAAGGAGCAATTTCCGACTTACCTCAAGCCACAAGTAAGTCTTCACTTTGTATTTGCACCAAGTTACCATTTTGGGGTCCTCTCCAGAGGTTTTTTTTTTTTTTTGCTACTATGAAAACAACATAAATCTCTCGATTTTCATATCAACACAATGTTCTGTCTCACTAACTTCCAAATGGAAAATAATAGATCTAGAAAATTGCAACTGCCCTTAGAGGTTCCCAGTCTCCATTGATTTTCTTTCAGATCCAATAATACTGTTCTGTCCTGCTGTGTTAATTATGGAATGTGTCCTAATCATGGGAAGGGCACCTTGGGAGAAGTTGCAGACGGCTGATGTGCTTTTTCTAGCATTTACCTCAAGAATGGGATGGTCAATAATTCTGGGTTCTCTGTGTTCTGCAAAACAACATTAAGTAGAAAACAAACAGAAGAGGCACATTTTCTTCTTTTGCCATAGAATCAGTGCTGATGTTGAGTGCAAGTCACATTTTGTCTTAGAGAAGAGGTGTCCCCAAAGAAGCCGAGATGAATGGGAATAACTACCTCTCTGTAGCTGTGCTTCATGCTCTTACCCTCAGCTTCTCCAGGTCTTGCCCTTGTGAGCCAGGAACTTTCCTTCACACACCACCTTTATTTCAGCCTGGCCTTTAAGACCTTCCATGATTTATGCCCTACCGCACCGCATTTATCAGCTGCTCTGGACTGAGTTCCGATTCAGCTGTGGATTCGTTGTGTAACCTCGGCCGTGTGATGCCCTTGCTGGGCCTGTATTTTCTCACAAAACAGTATCTATATCAGAGTTCCTGTGAAAATTAAGTTGGCCAAGGATGTCAGGGCCTCTCAGATCTTTTCCTTCGTTACCCTAATGACCACAGAGAACACATATACCGAAGGCCTTCTGAGGGCAGTAGCAATTTTACTGAAGCTGTATTTTTTTATCTTAAATCTATGTATATTTTCCATTCTGTTCCTTTTTTCATGTTTATTAATATAGAAATGTGTTTTACTGCAAAAGGATTAAGAACATTTAAAACAAGGAAAGTGTGCCAAAATTACCCCATAGCTTCACACACTGTCTCCTCCAAGTCCAAGTCCAGCATAACTCCAGGTCAGCTCCAGCAGTTTGAGGGGTACACGTGGGTCTGGGGCTCAGCACTCCAAATAGTCACCTTCTTCCTCTCACTGGACCTCTCAGTCCTGACTAGACACACACACACACACACACACACACACACACACACACACACACGCACACGCTAGTCTCATCCCACTTTCTTGGACCACTTTGAATCAATGAGACTGAGCTTGCCCTGCACCCAGCCATGGAATTATTTTCACGCACACCGTGCAGGCCCCACTCTACCTCTTTCTTCTGGATTCTTCTCCCATCTCTGCACATCCATCCCACATGTTCTTCAAAATCCAGCCCACGAAGCTCCCTGGGGTCCCTCTAACCCAAAGTCCCGTTTCCCTTTTATGAAAACTCTTGGCACTTTATCTGGTCTTTTAAAAGTAGCACTAACTACTACTTCCTGTCTCTGCTCTGAGCCTGTCTGGCCGCCTGCCTCTCTGGACCACAAGTTCCATGAGGAAAGACCGTGTCTTTTGTCTCCTGCCCTCACTGGCTGTAGCAGATACCTTATGGTTTGGGGACCATTCAAGGCTTTCCCACCTGCACATCGGCCCATGCGTCTTCCTCCCCATGGAATTTCTTCTCCCCGTCCCTATCCCTCATCTACCTGGTGAATTTCCTTGGTTAACATGACTGCCCATCCCGCATGACCCCAGTGGCAGAGTTTCTGTCACTGATACATGACATTGTGTTGTACCAGTGTGTTTATGCCTGTGTGTGGACTACGCAGTTTGTGAGACCCTGCCATTGGGACCTTGTCTTGTTCATCTGTGTCTCCCAGGCCCAGTATGCTGCCCGGCCCACAGTATGTGCTTAATAAATGTCTCATGGATGAATGAATTACATTGGGACACCCAGCCTCCCTCATGTCAGCACCTGCTGCTATTAGACTTTTCACTGGAGGGCCAGGGAGGACGAGGGCCTGAGAGAGCAGGATATCCATGGAGGTGCTGAGTGGTGAGCTGAAGAGGGCAGGAGAGCACAGGCTGTCAGACACCCCTGAACGCCATTTCAAATGGCCGGGCGTGGCACAGGGCTCCTGGGTAATGGGAAAGTGGCAGCCTGGATTAGCAACTTAGGAGTAGGGCTAGAGTGGAGAGCTGAAGGGTGGGGAGGAAAGCAGAACCCACATGCATCTGCAATGAATAAGGTCTCCTTGAACCTTTGCTAAGAAATACAGTAAAACAAGGCCAGGCACTGGGGGCTCAAGCCTGTAATCCCAGCACTATGGGAGGCCAAGGTGGGCTGATCACTTGACAACATGGTGAAACCCCATCTGTACTAAAAATACAAATATGAACTGGACTTGGTGGTGCATGCCTGTAATCCCAGCTACTCAGGAGGCTGAGGCAGGAGAGTTGCTCAAGCCTGAGAGGCAGAGATTACAGTGAGCCAAGATGGCACCACTGCACTCCAGCCTGGGTGACAGAGCAAGATCCTATCTCAAAAAATAAAGAAAAAGAAAAAAAAGTACAATAAAACAAAACAAAAGTATACTATGCCAGTAACAGGTATAACCTGAAATCAGGAAGACTGTGGGAAGACTGCTCTGCTTCAATTCCTGCTCTCCTGTCCCGCCTGCTGCTCAGCCATGGTTTCCCCCAGCTCTTGGGGTGTGTGGGGGCACCCAGGACACTGAAGAAATCTCCTGGTCAGAACACCTTGTAAGAACAAGACTCCTAGGGAAAGAGGTTTCCTAGTTCAGGTAGGGGCTGGGGCTAGCGCTACCCCAGGGACCTCCCTTGGTTTGGGTGACCATCATTAACGACTCTTCCAAACCAAACCTGGGACATGTAAAATGACAAGTGCAGGTGTATTTACAGGAAAAACAAGCTGAAACACAGACAACTCTCGGTGCAGGAAAGGAGTCCATCCCACAGCCTTTTCTAATCTTATTTAAAAATGCAAATTGCAGGTAATCTTCCCAATGAAACACATATAAAAAGCACCTTTCGTGGTCTCTGTATAGAGTGTATGGGGGCCTGTTCACTTCTACATCCTAGTCACTGTTGGGTTCCACACACCCCTCTATTTTGAAACTTCACTTTTCTGACAAAGATCCAACACTTACTAAAATTCATTCATTCATTCATTCTTTCTTTCTTTTTTTTTTTTTTTTTTTTTTTTTTTTTTTTTTTTTTTNTTTTTGAGACAGAGTCTCGCTCTGTTGCCAGGTGCCAGGGTGGAGTGCAGTGGTGTGATCTCTGCTCACTGCAACCTCCGCCTCCCAGGTTCAAGCAATTCTTCTGCCTCAGCCTCCTGAGTAGCTGGGACTACAGGTGCGAGCCACCACGCCCAGCTAATTTTGTATTTTAGTAGAGACAGGGTTTTACTATGTTGGCCAGAATGGTCTTGATCTCTTGACCTCGTGATCTGCCTGCCTCGGCCTCCCAAAGTGCTGGAATTACAGGCGTGAGCTACTGCTCCTGACTACTAAAATTCTTTTAATTGGTCTTCTCTCTTCCATGGTTAGGCCCAGCAGCTGGAATTCTTTTTGGGGCCATTTTCCCAAGTCTTCATCCTGTCACAAGAGTTGCTGCGCCTATGACAAAAGGAAGACCCAACGGAGCCACATTGGGAAGTGGGCACTGGGGAGTCTGCTGAGAAGCTGGTTGCTAAGTGACTGCCCTGCCTTCTGCTGCACAGCCATTTGAAGCCAGGCCTCAGGAAATAAATTCCACATAACATGCTCTGGGGTCATGTCAAAATAGTGGGAAACTGCCAAAGTTAAGTCTCAGAATGGCTAGAGCTTTCTGTAGTTGAAACTGAGACTATTCTGGAAAGATCTAGAATATTGACTAGGGCTGCTGAAAACTTCAAAGAGAATCTCACTCATGCCAAATACAAATGACTCTGCAAATTCCTTGCCAACCACATGCACTTGCAGTGAATGATGTTTCAGAGAGTCTTGATATTATGTAAAACAAATGTGGTTTGAAGTTTTAAATCATGAAAGAACCACATTAAGAGGACAAGAGACTGTGGAGTAAAAGTTTCATATAGTTAAATGCTCATGTACCACAATATCATGGATAAATGTGTCTACAATATTAAATCAAGAAATCGCATTCTAAATGTATAAATTGAGAAGTATGAAAACGCCAGAAGAAATAACCACATGAATTAATGATGATTGCCTGAGGGAGTTCTGCCCAGTTCTTCCATTGGGAGCATCTAGGAAAGCTGGAGAAACTATTTAAAGACACTAGAAAGCTGAGTAAATAGGACCAAGAGGCAAGAGAAGAAAGAAATCAAGAAAGATGACTACATTGCAATTAAGACCATCTATTCACCAAAAAAAGGCCATCCGTAAATGAAAAGGGAAACCTTAGCATGGAGGGAGATATTTGTAATACACGTATCCAAAAAGGACTCACAGGCAAAACCTAAAAGAACTTCTACGAATCAATAAGAAAAAGACCACAGAAAAGAACAATGGACATGACACTTAAGAATTTCGCAAAAGGATATCCAATATCCAATAATGAAATGAAAAGATACTCAACCTCCTTTAGTCATCAGAGACATGCAAATTGAGACCACGTTGCAATCCCACTACTCACCCACCAGAATGGCCAAAATTCAGATGACCGACAGTACCAAGTATTGCAAGGCTGTGGAGCAACTGAAACTCTCCTGCGTGATTGGTGAGAAGGTAAATTGGCGTACTGTAAAGCAGGGGTCCCCAACCCCGGGGCCACTGAGGAAGTGGGTCACACAGCAGGAGGTGAGCGGCAGGCCAGCAAGCAAAACTTCATCTGTGTTTGCAGCCACTCCCCATCACTTGCATTACTGCCGAGCTCCGCCTCCTGTCAGACCAACTGTGGCGTTAGATTCTCATAGGAGCTGGAACGCTATTGTAAACTTCGTGTAAGAGGGATCTAGGTTGTTTGCCCCTAATGAGAATCTAATGCCTGATTATCCGCCATTGTCTCCCATCACCCCCAGATGGGACCATTTAGTTGCAGGAAAACCAGCTCAGGGCTCTCACTGATTCTACGTTGTGGTGAGTTGTATGATTATTTCATTATATGTTGTAATGTGATAATAATAGAAATAAAGTGCACAGCGAATGTAATGCTCTTGAATCATCCTGAAACCACCCCACCCCATCCCCCACCAGTCAGTGGAAAAATTGTCTTCCGCAAAACCCGTCCCTGGTGCCAAAAAGGTTGAAGACTGCTACCTTTATTTTATTTTATTTATTTTTTTTTTTTTGAGATGGAGTCTCACTCTGTTGCCCAGGCTGGAGTGCAGTGGCATAATCTCAGCTCACTGTAACCTCCAGCTCCCAGGTTTAAGCAATTGGTCCTGCCTCCGCCTCCCAAGTAGCTAGTATTACAGGTGTGTGCCACCACACCCAGCTAATTTTTTTGTATTTTTAGTAGAGATGGGGTTTTGCCATGTTGGCCAGGCTGGTACTGAACTCCTGACCTCAAGTGATCTGCCTGCCTGGGCTCCCAAAGTGCTGGGATTACAGGCATGAGCCACTGTGCCCGGCTGGAGACTGCTACTTTAAAGAACAGTTAGTCATCTACTAAAGTTGAACCACACATGCCCTGTGATGCTGCAGCTCTGCTCATAGGTATACACACACTGGAAATCCATGCACTTATGCACTAAAACACACCTACAAAAACGTTGAGAGCAGCATTATTTGTAGCAGCCAACATTGGAAACAACCCATGTGTCTGTCAATCACAAAATAGATCAATAAACTGTGGTAATTGAAAGCCCTATAGAAATGACAATTAGCCACTTATAGCTACATGTAACAACATAAGTGAATCTTGAAAAAAATGTTAAGTCAAAGAAGCAAAGCATAATGAAGACATACTGAGTGGTTGCAATTTGAGAAATTTTAGCAAGGCAGAACTCATCTGTGGTGATTATGATAGTGGTCACCTTTGGGGAAGAGGGTGGCACCAGAGGGGGCTTTTTTCTAGGATGCTGGATATGTTTCAGGCCTCACCTGGGTGACAGCAACAGCAACACTTTTGGTAATGCATCTTATCTGCGCTGATGAATCTGTTCACTTTTCTGTGAGGTACTAGTTTTCCATTTCAAAACAATTTTTAAGAATTAGGCAGATTTTCTGGCTAAAGGAATAGAAACAGGTAGCAGACTAATTCATGTAAAGCTTATGGGACATGCTTCCCAAGATACCTTATTTTTGTCAGGGATGGCCTCTGGTCTAAACGTGTTTCCATGCTCTGCTCCCACCAAAGGAAAAACACAAGTGGTCATCCTGGAGGGCCTAGGGAGATTGAAGGAGTCAGAGAACTGCAAGCTTTGATTACAAGTATTTGGTATTATTTAAAGTTTAACTCTGTGCATGCATTTCATTAATAATACTTAAAATAGGCAAAACCAAAAATAAATATGCACTTAGATAAAATTGAGACAGTAACTTCTGCCCTAGGCAGAAGATAGAGAATCTAGAAATAACTAGCCAGAATTCTAAAATTAAGCTGCCAACAAAGAAAAAAAATTATTTCAACAGGTGAATACACATACAAATGATATATGTACACACACAAATATATAATATATGGATTATATCATATATATATATAATGTTTTGCCCAATTTTATTTTTCTTAAGATTAAAGGCACTTTTAATTTGTTTTACTTAGCAATTAAATATTTGATTTCTTCATGGCCACAATAACTTCCATTTAGATAGACCTTTTAAGAAATTAAACATTTTTATTTCACAGAAAATTCCATGGAAAGAACTCACTAAGGCTCCCATGGTCCTCTTAGACGCCACAGTCCAGGAGAGTCTGACAAGGTGGCTTTATTCCTGAAACTCAGGGACCTGATCCAACACGCTGGAAATTGTGTTTCTTTTCCCAGCTCAGGCTATTCACCTCCTCGGGCCCCTATTTTCCTGTCTCCTCCCCAGGAAGGTTGCGATAAAAATCAATGACATCATGTCTCATCAGGCCCCAGCCACCCTTCAGGAAGCAGGTGCTTTGGCGGAGTGGAGGCTGGGGCATTTTTCTGCTGTGCTGGCCTGGGTCTGCCGTTCAAGTAGCCCTAGGGGCCTAACACTTGAGGTCACCTTCATGTTTTTTTCCAATGACCTTGGCCATTAATGGGCTCCCAGCACTTTCCCCAGCTGCAGCTGTGTTATAGTGGCAGAGTCCTCCAGGCCTGCACGTTGTGCCAAGCCTGGAGGGATTTGCAAAAATAAGTCACCAGTGGTTTCTGCGCACTGGTCCCTGTGAAAACAAAGGAAGGTTTTGGGAATGGGAGCTAGGGATCGCCACTGGTGCTTCTAAGGAAGACATTCAGGATTAGTTGTGAAACAAAGGAGAAGCTAGTGTGGGGAGCTCCTAGCTGGCAAGGGACAACCCCAACATGAGCCTCAGGCCAGGAGTTCCCCAGCTGGCTTCTCTGGGCTTGGAATGAGAATGCGGTGTTGCCATCTTAGCTGTGTATTGTTTCACCCCTTGGAGCCTCAGGGTTTGCTTTGTTGTTGTTTTCCCCCAGGATTAAAAGGTACATAGAGCTAATTAGCACAGTTTCCAGCACAAAATAAATGCACGTTAACACCTGGTAGGGCAGAGAGTGAAACCATGTTGTAGAAAAGTGGACCATCTAGGTTTTCCTGGGTTTCACGGGTCTGCTGCTCATTCCCCTAGTCCGGACACAGTTCCTTGTCTGTGGGCTGAATCTAATCTCTTTGGAGGTCAAGGCAATGCCTCTAGAAATCTGAGGAGAAAATCAGTAAGCTGGGGCTTTCTCAAACATACAGTAAAATGAATACATTCTAAGTGTACATTTCAATGTCTACACCCATATAACCATTGTCCACACCCATGTATCCACTACCTCAGTCAACATATAGAATGTTTCCTTTACTCCAGAAAGTTCCCTGTTTTCCTTCCCTGCCAATCCTTACCCCTGCCCCAACTCAGACAGCCCCTGTTGTAATCTATCAACATGGATTGATTTGGGCTGCTCTAGAACTTCACATCAATGGAATCATTCAGTCAACCTTTTGCATCTGTCTTCTTTTACAGAACGTAGTTTTTTGAGATGCTTCCAGGATATTATAACATCAGTGAGTTTTCCTTCTTATTGCAGTGTGGATATACCTCAATGTATCCAGTCTCCTGTTGAGGGACACCTGGGTGGGTTCCAGTTTTTAGCTATTAGAAATAAAGCTACTACATCCATTCATTTGCAAAACATTTTGTGGACATGTTTTCCTTTCTGCTGGATAAATATGTAGGGTGAAATTGCCAGGTCATAAGGTAGGTGTATGTTTTCCTGTTGTATTAGTCCGTTTTCACGCTGCTGATAAAGACATACCTGAGACTGGGCAATTCACGAAAGAAAGAGGTTTATTGGACTTACAGTTCCACGTGGCTGGGAGGCCTCACAATTATGGTAGAAGGTGAAGGGCACATCTCACATGGTGGCAGACAAGAGAAGAGAGCTTATGCAGGGAAATTCCCCCTTACAACACCATCAGATCTCATGAGACTCATTTGCTATCATGAGAACATCATGGGAAGAACCTGCCTCCATGATTCAATTACCTTTCACTGGGTCCCTCCCACAACACATGGGAACTCAAGATGAGATTTGGGTGGGGACACAGCCAAACCATACCATTCTTCCCCTGGCCTCTCCCAAATTTCATGTCCTCACATTTCGAAGACAATCATGCCTTCCCAATAGTCCCTCAACTGTTGGGAAGGCATGATTGTCTTCAAATTGTGAGGACATGATTGTCTTTGAAATGAAAAGTCTTAACTCATTTCAGCATTAACTCAAAAGTTCACAGTCCAATGTCTCATCTGAGACAAGGCAAGTCCCTTCTGCCTATGAGCCTGTAAAATTAAAAGCAAGTTAGATATTTCCTAGATATAATGGGGCTATAGGCATTGAGTAAATACAGCCATTCCAAATGGGAGAAATTGGCCAAAATGAAGGGGTTACAGGACCCATGCAAGTCTGAAATCCAGCAGGGCAGTCAGATCTTAAAGCCCCAAAATGATTTCCTTTGACTCCATGTCTCACATCCAGGTCACACTGATGCAAGAGGTGGGTTCACATGGTCTTGAACAACTCCAGCCCTTTGGCTTTACAGAGTACAGCCTCTCTCCCAGCTGCTTTCCTGGGCTGGCATTGAGTGTCTGTGGCTTTTCCAGGCACACAGTGCAAGCTGTCAGTGGATCTACCATTCTGAGGTCTGGAGGACAGTGGCCCTCTTCTCACAGCTTCACTAGGTGGTACCCCAGTAGGGACTCTGTGTAGGGGCTCTGACCCTACGTTTCCCTTCTGCACTGCCCCAGCAGAGGTTCTCCATGAGAGTCCCGCCCCTGAAGCAAACTTCTGCCTGGACATCCAGGTGTTTCCGTACATCCTCTGAAATCTAGGCAGAGGTTCCCAAACCTCAGTTTGTGACTTCAGTGCACTCGCAGGTTCAACACCACATGGAAGCTGCTAAGGCTTGAGGCTTGCACCCTCAGAAGCCACAGCCCAAGCTCTACATTGGCCCCTTTCAGCCACAGCTGGAGCAGTTGGGACACAGGGCACCAAGTCCCTAGGCTACACATAGCATGGGCACCTAGGCCCTGCCCACGAAACCACTTTTTCCTCCTAGGCCTGTGGGCCTGTGATAGGAAGGTCTGTCATGAAGACCTCTGACATGACCCTAGAGACATTTTCCCCATTGTGTTGGGGATTAATATTTAGCTCGTTGTTACTTATGCAAATTTCTGCAGCTGACTTGAATTTCTCCTCAGAAAATGGGATTTTCTTCTCTATCTCAATTTTGGGCTACAAATTTTCTGAACTTTTATGTTCTGTTTTCCTTTTAAAGCTGAATGCCTTTAACAGGACCCAAGTCACATCTTGAATGCTTTGCTGCTTAGAAATTTCTTCCGCTGGATACTCTAAATCATCTCTCTCAAGTTCAAGGTTCCACAGATCTCTAAGTCAGGGACAAAATGCCACCAGTCTCTTTGCTAAAACATAACAAGAGTCACCTTTGTTCCTTCCCAAAAAGTTCTTCATCTCCATCTGAGACCACCTCAGCCTGGACTTTA